ACTGTGTCTCAAACCTGCATCTAAGAACAGGCTCAGGGAAGGAAAGAAGAGCTGGTTCATTTCCCCAGAAGATGTTAGCAGAGCATAGCACAGCACTGCCTCATGCAGCCCACTCCTGTGAAATGCCACCAGGAGCACAGCGTGTGCAATAGAGGAGAACATGCAGGACTGCGGCAGCTGAGTTGACAGTGCATCTCAAGGGGGCACTAAGTGCCCGCAGCACACCTCAGAAAGGTCACAACTCAAAAAAGATCACATTCCCAAATGCCCTTATTTAGAACAATTCATCCTGCCCCAGGGAGCTTAGGAGGAAGGAGGTCTGGTTTCATTTGGTTTGGATTTATGGGTTGCTTTTTTTCCTTGTCTCACCAAAAGAAAAACTATTTATGCAAGAAGTTCAATGATTTCCACAATAAAACAGCAAGTCAGTGGTGTCCAAAGCCAACAGTAAGGGCTCCTTTGTAGCCCTCTTCTTCTGACCTCTTTCTTCTGCCTGCAGCCTGGCATCCATGGCCAGAACTGCCCAATACCTAGTAAAGCTGTCAAAAATGATGGAAAATTATTGACTTCTTAGTCCTCCCTTTATCTGGGACGAGGACGCTACTGACAGCATTCATTTCTGGGTAGCCAATGTCCTTGTCAGCAGGATAGGTTTAATTGCCACCTCCAAGAACTCCATAAGGACTTTGTTGAACTTTATTGAACTTTGTGGAACTTGGAGACTATTAGATGTAAAGTTTTGTAAATATAAATTTATATGGTCTTTTCTCCCTCTCTCTATCTTCTTGGGGATCCAAAAGACAACTCAACACTTAACCAGATGTTTATCACTGACTTAAAATGAGTTGGTAGAGTGGATCAGGGTTGGAAGGGAGAGAGGGAAGGTCTGAAGAAGCTAAAAATACCATCGAGTCATTTACAAACATCATTTCATTTAATTCTCACAACATGAGAATAAGAGCCTCTCCCTATTTTAAAAGCCAAGGAAACAGGCTCAAAGACATAAAACTTGCTCAAGGTCACCCAGATCTCTCAGATTTCAAAGTCAGTGTTCGTAGTCATGCTGCCCCTTCTCCAGGAAAAGCCAGACCCTTCGGGCACTCAGGACCACATGCTTCTCAATTTCATGGGGACTTTGTTCTCTTTCTAATTTCCTCAGTGTCTTTCAAACTCTGTTGTAGAGTTTCTACTTCAGTGTTCAGAGATGCTCTTGTAAAAGCAATCAAAATGTGTGCCTTCCCATGTCTGTCCAGTCACCTTATCTCTTTCCTCTTTCAGCCAGACATCCTGAGAGAGTGTCTCCACATGTTGTTTCCACCACCTCCCCTCATCCACTATTTACTCTTTCCCACCTGACTCCTGATCCTCAGCAGTGTTCATTGATTGCTTCTTTGGTATCTATTCCTCTTACCTCTGCAACTAACCTGCTTTTCTTTGGCTTATCTCTATCCATTTGGTGGTTACATCTTGGATTCCATTCTTGCCTTGGCTGCAAACCAGGACTTAGCGGATCATAACATCACATTCCCTACCTCTGGTTATATTCGTTCTTTATAACCAATAAGGGATGGACACATGATTCATTTGCAGCCAATAAGACATGAAAAAGGTTTGTTGGTTGTGGGTGGGGAAACATTCTCACTTTTCTGGAAGTTGCTAAGAAATCCCCTCTGTCTCTCTCAGATTTGAATGAGGGAGTGTGAACCCTGGGAGCCATTGGCAGCCATCTTAGATGGAGAGTTGGGGAAGGGAGGGCCCTGAGCTATCAAGAAAGCAGAATGGGGAGACAAAAGGGTTCCAGATGCCTGATGACATCAATGAGCCACTGAACCAAGCCATCCTAACCTCTGAACTGTTCTATGAGTTAAGAAATGTTCTTTGGTATTTAAGTCCATTTGAGTCAAGTTATTAGTTTCTTGTAACAAAACAAATCCTGTTCTTCTTCCCCCTTCCCCCAGTACTAAGGATTGAACCCATGGGTATTCTACCACTGAGCTACACTCTCAGTTCTTTTTACTTATTTATTTTTTATCTGGAGACAGGGTCTCACTAAATTTCCCATGCTGGCCTTGAACTTGAGATCCTCCTGTCTCAGCCTCCAAAGTAGCTGGAATTACAGCCTGTATCACCAAGCCCAACTGGAAAAACATATTCTTATGCATCTAAATGAAAATGGTTCTTGCCTGGTTAACTAATGACCTCATGTAGATAAATACAATGAGCTTTTCTCAAGCTCATCTATTCTTCTCAACACCATTCGACAAATATACGATTAACTCCTTCAGACAATCTTCTAACATGACTTCCATGATTTTCTATGCTACTGAATTTTTTTCCTCCTCTATGCTCTTTCATTCAGTCCTCTTTTCAAATTCTTTTTTCTTTACCCAACCTTTAAATCCCTGGAGTTTCTCAGGGATTGGTCACAAACACACTTTTGTTCTCATTTGACATTTTCTCTCTAGGCAATACCTTCAGTCTGTTATCTTTAAATCCCTCTATAGATCAATGACTCCCAAATTTATAGTAGTCTTCAATCCAGACCTCATTTTGGAACTGCAGCTGCCATTGTGACTCCTGTCCTGGGGTATAGCGCAGCACCTGAAACCTAGCTTATTGTATTGGAATATAAGCTTCACCCAGGCAAGGGCCATGTTTATCCCATTCAGCACTATATCAGCCATCCCCAGCATCATGCCTGACACAGAATAAACTGTCCATGAAATGTTTGAATAAATGAATGAGGGATAAACAAAAAGTGGGTAAAATAAATGATAGTGTCCTTTGGTTGCAAATAATATTATCCCAACTCAAACCAGTTTAAATAAAAAGAGGTATTTAGTGTAAAACAACTGGAGCATCTCAATTGAACTTGAGGATAGGAACACGGTTGGAACTTTGTCTTCACGTGCGTGCGTCAGGACTCTCCTCAACTCCTTGCTCCTAATTCTTCATGAGCAGCTACTGTATCTTTCTCGTTAGCCACTTTGTTGTTGTTTTTGTTCCTCAGGACAAATGGAGATTGCAGATCCAGGATTGGTAAACTTTTTCTCAAAGTCACAGGCAATATATAAATGATTGGCGCTGGCTGTGTTTCAATAAAACTTTACTTGCAAAACAGGCAGGGGCCTTTGGGCCATAGATTGCTGATAACTCAACTTCCAACAAATAAAAGATTCGTGTATCAGTTCAAAAATTTGGTTCTGTGCTGATTCTGGGACCATCTAAGTTCATCATCCTATCCTTGGCACAGAGACTGTGGCCAAAGAGACAGGGTCATGTTAAACAGGGGTTACCCTCATGTCACTCACCTATATTGTAAGAGGCTTGAAAAAGGGGGCAATTCCTGAGAAAAAGCATGCTGCAGAAGTCCAATGTCTAAAATTTCTTTTTTAGAGGGAGCGGGGGTACCAGGGATTGAAATCAGGGCACTCGACCACTGAGCCATGTCCTCAGCTCTATTTTATTGGAGACCGCAAATCAAGTCAAGATGGCGCCTGGCAGTTTGCCAGGAGGAGTGGTTTGTGAGGCAACGCCACCGAGCCATTAAGATGATGGGGATTCCTTATTGGCTGACTGCTGTATCTAGATGATGTTAATTGAGTCAAGCTGTGTGTAATCAGTTAGGTATATATACCTCTGCTGTTCCGCATAAGGCGGCTCCTGCTACCTTGGGTGCCTGCTACCTTGAGTTCCCACTCAGTTCCTGCTAAGTTTCCCGCAGTAAATCAGTTCCCGCTTCAACCTTCAAGTTGCTTGTCACCTCCCAGTTATTTTGCCCAGCCGGACTGTGGCACTTTTTCATATTTTACTTAGAGACAGGGTCTCACTGAGTTGCTTAGCACCTTGCCATTGCTGAGGCTGGCTTTGAACTCGTGATCCTCTTGCCTCAGCCTCCCAAGGCATGTGCCACGAGTCCAGCTAAAATTTAATTCTTAATCTTGCATCAAGGCTCCTGCACCTCCAGCATTTCAGACCCAGCACCATTCTCTCAGTGCTTGTTCACTCCCCTTTCCCTCATCCTTGGCCTCCAGTCTTATACTAAGGCCTGTCAGTTCTTTCACTTTGTAGTGTTGGGATGGAACCCAGGGCCACACACAGCTAGACAAGTGCTCTGCCACTGAGGTATACCCCCAGGGCCCAACTGCATTTCTAACATAGATTGCCAACAGGTCTACTCTCTCTGAAGTATCCTAGTACAACCATCATCTCCTGTCTGTTCTTCTACAAAATCTCCCTTCTTTCTTGCTCACTTCCAATCCGATCAGCAGCCAGAGACATTTTATAAAACCATCTTTTTTTTCCTAAAAAGTATCCAGGAGGCTCTATGAAGACTGCCCCTTTAGGCCACTGGGATTATTAGGGTTGGGGGACCCAGGAGTGGTTGGAAGTCATCACAGAGAATTGGAAGTCATCAGAGAGAGGCAGTGTCCACATGAAGCCATTTTTCAGGGACTTGGATGGCAACACAACATGGCAGCTCCCCTTGGGACTGAAGGTGTTGGAAGGTCAAACAGAGTAGAGTATGAGACTGAAGAACAAGATTCCAGGAAGGACCTGCCTAGAAGGGATTGTCTGAGCATGTGGCACAGTGGTGCATCCCTGTAGCCCAGCTGCTAAGAACCCTAAGGTAGAAGGATGGCACGTTCGAGGCCAGCCCAAGCAACTCAGCGAGATGCTGTCTCATAATTTAAAAATAAATAAATAAGAAAGGGCTGGGGATGTAGCTCAGAGGTAGAGCACCCACACTGAAGAGCCAAATGTTGCTGGGGCAGCGTCCATGGGAGCCTAACCCTCGGTTCCCAAGGAGGCTGCCTCCCTGTCTGTCAACTCAGGTGATGAATTGAGGAGTGAGGGGCAGGGAGCCATTTGCTAAAGATTGTAAAGGCTCAATAAATGCTTTCCACCTGAATGCAGCAGAATTGTGCGATAGTTATTCCATTATTGGAGTAACAGCAAATGCCAAGAGGGACCAAGAGATGGGGGAATGTTGGCTGACATTTTAGAAGAGAAATCCCTGACGCTTTGCCTTTTAGGAGCCCAATTGTCTATCAATTGTCTATTAAACTCCATATTTTAAGTTTTGGGGCCTTTCTTTCAGTGACTAAATTTGTGTTCCCTTGGGCAGGTGTCATGAAGAACCTGGCCTTAAGGTGAGAGTAAGAAGACTGAGAGGTCCTCTGAGAAACCAAGTCAAACTGAGTCTCACACAGGCCTGGGGATGGTGGAGGGGGTGGCATTCACTGCTCACCCAGCCCAGGATCATGGGAAGTCTCTTGAGCTATTTCTATGTGGTCTCACTTAAATCCAGGTGCAGCCTAGACTGGGCTCAAACCCCGGGCTCAAGCAATCTGCTGGCCTCAGCTCCCTCAGTCACCTGCCTCTGGGCCCAACTGAACTTTCTTTCCAATCCTTTCCCTGCCGCCCCCACTGGTGACTAGGGTCCTCCTCCCTTTGTCTGGGACAGGATTTGAAAATATATACGAGGTCTTTGAAAGGAAAGTTGCCCATAAGGGACTGACTGAGAACAGAGAGAACCTGAAGACGCAGGTGGGCATCACTTCTGCAGAGCTGTTGCCAGGCAATGTGCTGGCTGTTGACCAGGGAGACATTGCCAGGACACTAACATGGCCCTCAGTGCTGATGACACATTGCCTTTGTAGCTGGGGCCAGGGCATCTCCCAATTTTCTCACATTGTAATAAATTTTAATTGTTGGGATGTGTGAAATAAACCGAAAGGGTTCCATTTGGGGGGATAGGGGTTTTTAATGTGTACTTTATTTCTTGATTTTTTTAACCTCAACTCTGCAAACACTAAAGGGGAGCCCAGAATTCTAACACTACGCTCCCACTGGGTGTCCAAGTCTGGATCCTTGCTCATGGTACTCTGTACATGAACTTGCAAGAACTTGTGGTGGCCTTACCATCTTACTCGTGGGTGGTAACTACAAAATCCTAATATCTGACATCTGAGCTGGGATGTTGAATCTGTGACCCTGATCTAGAAGCTCTGATAATACAGACCAAGAGTGAGAGTTCCTCACACTCCAACTTCAATTCCTTCCTTCCTCCCTGCCCGCCTTCTCTTTCTCCACTCCTTATTTTCTTGCTTTCTTTTTTTGTACATAGTCCTGTTCCCAGAAACTGATGAGAATGAAGTTGAATGTTGGACCTGAAAGTGTCAACGTGAACCCACAATTAGGTTCTGGCCTCTGAGGTGTCGTAAGGAACTAATTGGTTAATGTTTGCAAAATGCCAAGACACTCTTAAATAAAAGGCGTAAGTAAATAAGTTCAAAGTATTTGTAATTATTATGATTATTTCTAAAGTTTATGAGACCTAGTCATAAATATTATAATAGGATGAGGTCAACACTTTTAAAAAGAGGAAGCAGGACAGGGACTGTATATAAAGCACAGTAGACTCACTGCTTCTAAGCACAAGAGCTAACTGAAGACAGGTGAGTATAAACAGGTGTGGAACTTGTGCCGGGCTAAGTTAGGGTAAAAAAAAGAATCTAGTATAGGGAGGTTGATTGATAATGATTGTGAATCTGCTGCTGAGTGGATTAGAAAGGTTGGATCAGATGAAACTTTTGGAACTTGCAAGAAAAAACAAGTTTTGAAACCTATAGAGATGATATGAAATTCTTTTTCCTGTTCATTACAATACTTACAAAAATTTAGATTTTTTTTTTCAGTACTGGTAACTAAATCCAGGGCCTCATGCATGCTAGGCAAGTGCTTCATCCCCAGACCTTTTTAATTTTAAAACAGCATCTTGCTAAGATGCCCAGGCTGGCCTTGAACTTTCAATCATCCTGCCTCAGTCTCCCAAGGAGCTGGAATTACAGGTGTATGCCACCTCATCTGACTTAGATTTCTATTAATATATAGTTTCTTTTGGATTTGGGTGCATGTGCAAAACAAAGAACAGAAGAACAAAATCTTATGTGCATTTAATAGTAATGGTAGTAGATCCAATGGATGTCTTCTTTGCTAATGCAAAGCCAGAGGATAAAGGTGTCTGTGTTTTGCAGGATGGTAAATCTTTTCCTTGCTCTTGTGCTCCAGTCTTGCCAATGTTAGGCTATCCCACATTCTGTAAGTGTCGGGTCTACAAGAGAGTCTGCTTTTCTCTGAAAACTGTGAAAAAACTAAGTCAACTTATCTAACCGCTTAAGTCTTAGCTATTAGAGTAAAAAAGAGAGATAAGCTTCCAGAGTGTGTGCATGGAACACAGGTCAGGTCTCTTGATTTGATCTTTGTTCAGAAGGGGATATTCCTATTCCTAGGCAAGCCCAACACAAGGAGAAGAGCCTTCCTGGAGTTCTCAGCTCCAGGAACCCCAAATTCAGAGGGAAAAGTAGGCAGAGATGTGCACAGTCTCCTCAGCAGGAAAAGGATTTCCTCACAGGGAAGCAAGTGAATCAACCAAACCTTCTTGAGTTTTTCTGGGCTCACAACTCAAATTCAGCAAATACACATTTTTAGACCATGGAAAAGGCAATTAAAAAAAAAAAAGACAGTTTAAAATGAGCTGTCATGTCTTGGCCTTAAATTTCACTCTAAAAGGTTAGTTTTTTTTTTTCCTTAAGAAAACACAATCACAGTGGCAGAAGCATTTTATATTTGTGACTGTCATTGGTACCATCATTTTAATTTGAGGACCGTTGGTGCAAAGCACTGTGCAAGACTGGGGTGTTGCTGTGGTGTGAGGAAGAGGGAGACACAAGACAGCCAGAGAGGCGTGACTCAGATGGGAGCCCCCCTGGAAAGGTCCACGGGCCCCAGGGAGCATCAGTGGAGAGATGCTCCAGAAACTCACCAAGGGCCACAGCGTAACTTGGTGGAGGAGGATGCCTAATGTGGATGCCTGGGGTGGTTCTCAGCTCTTCCAGGATCAGATGGGGCCACGCTGGGCAGGGCCGCCTTCACCTCTCAGCATGTCAGGGTGCTAATACAGCACATTTCCAAGCTGGTTGGAAGACCCCAATCACCTGGGATGCTCTTACACAAAGTTTAGGTGAAGATGGAGGGCATTCATCGAAAAGGAATGGGGGTTCTGTGGTGAGAGAACTACAAGGAACAAAAGGCCATATTTGCATCTTTTCCAGGGAAACAATTGAACTGAGGAAGAAATGATCCTTATCCCTTGTAAATCTGAACAAGGCTTTGGGAATTACAAAGTGCCCAGTGGCATGGTGCACGCCTGTAGTCCCAGTGACTCCACAAGCTGAGGCAGGAAGATCACAAATTTGAGAACCAGCCCGGGTAATTTAGGGAGACCCTGTCAAATAAATAAATAAATAAAAGGACTGGAGATATAGCTCAGTGGTAATGACACACGCGCGCACACACACAAAGTGCTCAGGGGAAAGAATACAGAAAAAGATATCTTGGCGAGGCAGCAGGAACTTGAACTAGACTCTGAGAGATTCTCCGGTTACCAGTTTTCAGGGTGGCCTGTGGCTTCAGCTTGTCACACCACTTTGCTATTTGCAACCACTTTGCCATTATAGATATTGTGCTGGGCATTGAGACTCAGTATATGTCTTAGCCTAACCTTTTTATGATGGCTTTGAGTGCAGTGAGCCACAGGGATAGTAACATATTAGTCCCAGTGACCAATGGACACTCCTTGAGCACACCCTAGGGATGCCTCCACCATCCCTTCTAAACAAAGAGTACTTTCTGGCCTATAAAGTTGGGCCACAGAGTTTGAGTTGCTTCGACCTGCTGTTTATGGATGGAACACTTTGTCCATCCATATGAGAAGCTCATTGTCACTTTTTGCTCTTCCCTGATATAATGGGGAAAAATTACTTTGAAGATCTGGTTTCAAAGGCAACCACAAAGTAACTCTATGTTACTAAGTACATGGCACAGGTATTTACTTAGATTCAACCAAGTGCTTGCTCAACATAGATATTTAATTCCATGCTTGGAAAATGGAGAAAGCACTCATAAAAGCTAAATCTTTCCACCTGGGTTTCCAAGAGAAAGTATATTTCTTTCTCAGAAAAGCAGAAAAGAGTGAAATACGCCGGGTTTGGCATTTGAATGTGAGCGGTGCTTTTTTTCTAAGGGTCCTTTCCATAAAGCTGTGAGTTGCCTCTGTCAAGACAGATTTTCATGAGACCATGAGCATTTTCTAGTCTCATGCTGTTCTTTCTCCATTCCTTTTTCCTGGAATTGATTGTCCTCTCTCATTCAGGGCTGGGGGCTCAGGGGTGCTAAAATAAATGATTCTTGTTGAGTTGTTAAATCCATCCGAGAGTTCCTGCGGACCCAATTAACATCTCAAGTTCCTGTACCTTTTTTTGGCAGTTGTGCATGACATTTTCTGTTTAAACAAAACCAGACAGACCATCTCAAAGTCATAGGGAAGAAGAACAAAGTGTGGCTTCATCAGAGGGCCACCTGCTCCTTCAGTTTAAGAAGATGGAACTCAGATGAATTCCTTAATGCCTCTCCATCTGGAGATGGCACCTCTTAGGTATTTGGAAGAAACTGCCTGTAAGAGTAACTTTAGAACAAAAGAGGGCTGGGGTTGTAGCTCAGTTGGTAGAGCATGTGTCTAGAATACAGGAGTCCCCAGGTTTCATCCCCTGCTTTAAGACAGAGAGAGAGAGAGAGAGAGAGAGAGAGAGAGAGAGAGAGAGAGAAAGTGCTATGTGCCAGGTTTATTCTCAGGCTCCTACACATAATGATGGTAATAATTCAAAATGGCAGGTCACCAGGCTCTGCTGATGATGGAGATGGGGGAAGTGGAAGTTTGGGGGGCAGGGAGCTGGTTCCTCCTGCATTCCCTGGGTTCAACTGTTCTTGGTGGCGTTTGTGCATTAGTTTGGTAGCTAGTAGGGGCAGGGGCTGTGGTAGTAACGGGCGGAATGGCTGGAATAAGAGAGAAAGCATGGGAACATGATCTTCATGGCAGTCAGTTGAGCAAGCCCCTCATGAGTGGATTCTGGGACCCCTGCCCACGACCCAGCTTTCTGGGAACTTGTCTCTCCATTCTCCGTGGCTCCAGCCCAGGAGTTTCACGGAGGGATATTGGGGAACATGGTTCAAAGTCATCAAGGGGGTCTGGATTCCCAGACTGGGGCTGAGGAGTTGGAATGCCCTCAGGCTCCCTCCTATATCCTAAGTCTCAGTAGCCATTCCAAGGCCCTGAAGAAGTGTGGCCTTTCCTCCAATTGAGAGAAAAGAATCCAGATTCAGAGAAATGACCAATATGAACTTCTCCTTTTCACATTATAGTTTGATAATGAAAAGGCTCTTGGGATAAGACTGGTGCATCAAATATTTGCTTTTCTGAGTCTTGAACCCAGTTACCATGTTCTCGGTATTGAGAACCAAAGCATCTTGGCATCTTAAAATAATTAGTATCCGGTGTCTGGATGCTACATTGAGTTCCTATAGACCAAGCAGAAGTCTTCCCATTTTTTAAGCTAATTAAAGGATAGGTGGAGCATTTGTCCCACTCTTGATTTTTAACTGTGACCCAAATCATTAATTTCCCTTCTTTGGAGATGAGTGAACTCGTTCCATTCATCTTCCTCCCATAGGAGCATTACATGTTGTTGACAGCGATTGCTGTTTTCTCATCTCCAAGCTAATTTTGATTTCAGGAGCTGTAGAGCCAGACCCTTGACATGTCTGCTTTGTGGCTGTTGCTGGGCCTCTTGGCCTTGACTGGTGAGTGTGTTTCGTTTTTCCCAAATGACCTTGGAGGTGGGATGGAGAAACATAAGAAAATGATGCTACTTCTCATATTTGAAATTGAGGTGGAAACATTATTTTTCTCCTAAGATGTCCAATAAATCCTGAAGTTAGGCACAGTCATTGACCAGCAGTCTCTCCTCTGAATGTTCCAGAATTTGGGATGGGCTATAAAGCAGGTAGTTTACAACAGGATTAAAGTCTTGTAAATATACACCAGGTGTAAATATACACCTGCTCATTGCCTACTATAAAAACTGCTTCATCAATAGTATTTATTGAACTTATTTATAGACCATATAGTTCCACAAAAAGAAATCAAAATGTGACCAAACTAGCAACCACCAAGGCTGACAGAGTCATTTCAATTGAATTTCAGCTTTGACCTAAAGTTTCTTGCAGCGGGGATTTTTTTTTTTTTTAACAAGTGAAAGTATTTGTTTTTTTAACAAGTTAAAGGAGTAAATGGTTCCTTAGGAAAAGCACAACTTTTCCTGGTTCTAAATTGAAAAAATGTCTCTGATGGGGCCTTACATTAGTTCATTTATTTATTGATTCATTTATTCAACAAATATTTTAAGAATTCCTACAAGGAGCTAGGCATTGGGAATGTAATGTGGTTAGGGAGAAGTCTTCACGGCAGGCAGCATTGAGTGACAGACTAGTGCAATATAAAGGGTATTTGTCAATTTGTCACCTATCATAAAGATAAATGTGCACTGATTAAAAAGCTAAAAAGAACATATTGGCTTATTTAATTTTTAGTATGTTCACAAAAGACAAGGTCTTTTCATTTCCACATTTCTTTCAGATAGCTCATCCCTAGTCTCTAAGGTAGAAGTACTTACCCAAAATACTAGTATTTTCAGATGTCAATCTCATGAAGCTGTCAGTAAAGACAAAGAAATTAAAAATGCATTTATGTTAATATAAGATGAACAATAGACACACTGCACAGACCTGAAAGTCATTAAGATTTGGTGATATAATCTACTTCCATCAAAGAATAAAACACATTTTAAGAAGTATGCTAGTGCGAGGCTTCCGTAGGATGCAAGGATGAGAAGATTTTCTCAAGCAGCAATTTCCTGTCCCCTGAAAGTATCTGGTTACTGGCTCCAGCACCCACCTCCTGCAGGGAATTGTAAATTTATAGTTGTTCCTCAGTATCTGCAGGGGAGGAATGATGGATCCCAGGATACCAAAAATCTTTGGTTGCCAATTCCATTATGTAAAGTGGCATAGTATTTGCATAGAATCCAAGTGCACCCTCTTGTCTACTTTAAATCATCTCTAGATGATAGTAAATAATACAATGGAAATGCTATGTAAATAGCTGTTGTGCTGTATTGTATAGGGAGTGGTGAAAAGAACAGAAGGTTTGTGCATGTTTGGTACATTTTTTTCCCTAAATATTTTTGATCTGCCATTGGTTGAATCCATGGATGCAGAGACCACAGATAAAGAGGGCTGATTACATGTTAGAAATCTCATCCACTAGCTACTCTCACAAATGGAGATGAGGATGTGAAGAAATTAGAATTCTTGTACACTGTTGGCAGAAATACTAAAGGGCATAAGGGCTGGAGAACAGAATGCTGCTTCCCCAAAACTTTAAAAATGAAGTCACCATACAATCCATAAATTCCACTTCTGGGTATATACCAGAAAGAATTCAAAGCAAAGTACTAAAAAGATATTCGTACATTACGTTCATGGCAGTCTTTTTCACAGTAACTCAAATGGAGGCAACCCATGTGTCTAACAAATGCATGGGTAAGCAAATGTGGTATGTCCATACAATGGATTATTATTTAGCCTTAAAAAAGGAAGAAAATTTTGACATGTGGTGTAAAATGAATGAACTTTGAGGATATTGTGCTAAGTGAAATAAGCCAGACAGAAAAAGACAGATACTGTATGATTCCAGTTATATAACATAGGCAAACCATAGAGAGAGACAGTGGAATAGTGGTTGTAAGGAGCGAGTGGAAGCAGGGAATAGGGACTTAATTGTTTAATGTAAGAGTTTCCATTTTACAAAATGAAAAAATTCAAGGAGATGGTTGGTGGCGATGGTTGTACATCATAACTATATTTAATATCACTGAATTATATACTTTAAAAATGGTTAAGTGATAAATTCATGTCATATATATTTTACCATAATAAAAAATGATAAGTTCAAAAGAACAAAACAAAAAAATACTCATTCACTCTTTCCCTGGTGTGAAGAGAAGAAATGTCCTTCTCTTCAATGGTCCTTGAGAAATCTCAATAGTGTCCAAAACAACACCTTGCTTTCAGTGATGGCTACGATGGCAGTGGGAGGTAGATAAAGAGAAGGAGCAGGAAGAGGAAACCCCACGCACAGCCCTGGTCCTCAGCCTCACCTGCGTGTGCCGCCTTTGCAACCTTAGGCCCCACTTAGAATGGACTGCGATAAGGTGAAGCAGACCCCAGTCCCAGGCTGTGGACTTGCCCTGCCTTGGGTCTTGGTGGCAGTTCCTGGGAGATGCAGGCTTTATTCATGTTTCTCGAGAGCAAGCATAAATGTGCCACCAGGCGGACGAGTTAGGAGTGTTTGAGGGAAAAGTGCTGAGTTCATAGAGGTGGTAAGAGAGGACCAGGGTACAGATAGTCTCTGATCTGCTTTTCCCAGGAGTTCCTCATGTCTGCAGGAGAAGAGGTGAGAATTCAGCAGCAAAGCCTTGTCTGTGATAATTTCTTAGGATACTGCGAATTAAACTCCAAAAGATTTTTCAACTGCAGAGTGAAGCTCTTGTTCTTATTGGTTTTATTATGACCTTTAAAAAAACTGGTTGCCATCCCATTCATAGGCGGATGATAAGAACTATTCTAGGTCAATGTCTTAGGTTCAACTTCTCTCCATCCATAGACTTATCTGAAAGCAGCAATTGGGGATGTTACGGAAACATCCGAACCCTGGACACCCCAGGAGCATCCTGTGGGGTTGGAAGACGTCACGGCCTGAACTACTGTGGTACGCATAACCTCTGGGTCCACTCTCATCCTGCGATACCCTCGTGGCTCATTTCCCACAGCCCCATGCTAGGGAGTGGTGGAAAAAGCCCTGGGTCGGGAGGCCAAGGACTGTTAAAGTTCTGGCTCTGCTTTTTAAAATTTTTCTCTCCCCCAGTATTGGCAATTGAACCCAGGGTGCTCTACAACTGAGCTACATTCCTAGCCCTTTTTACTTTTTTTTTCCTTGTTCACAGTGTTATTTTTAATATCAAACAAGGAGAAATAATGTAAACATCCAATATTAAGACAATTAAATTGTATGACACATCAGTTTAGTATAATATGGTGAAGCCATTAAAACTCATAATTTTTAAACAAGTACAATGACAAATGATATAATATTAAGAAAAAAATCAAGACAATGCTGGATATATACCATATGATCCTATTTTTTATATTTATGCATAACTATGCTTAGAAAAGAGACTGTTGGGAAAAGTCTCAGAATTTTTTTTTATTGGTTGTTCGAAACATTACAAAGCTCATGACATATCATCTTTCATACATGTGATTCAAGTGGGTCCTCCTTTTTACTTTTTATTTTGAGACAGGATCTTGTTAAGTCACCCCAGCTGGTTTCAAATTTGCAATCCCCCTGCCTCAGCCTCCTAAGTCTCTAGTATTACAGGTGTGCACCACCTCTATCTTTTTAAAAAAATTTTGTATTTGTTCTTACTAGTTATACATGATAGATGAATTTATTTTGACATATTATACATATATGGAGTATAACTTCTCATTCTTCTGGTTGTACATGATGTAGAATTACATTGGTCTTGTAATCATACATGTACATAGGATAGTGATGTCTGAATCATTCTACTGTCTTTCTTATTCCCATTTCCCATCTCTTCCCTTCATTACCCTTTGTCTAATCCAAGGTACTTCCATTTTTCCCTACCTCCACCCCTTATTGTGACAGGCTCTGTGTCTTAAAGAAGTCACTTAATTTCTCTGAGCCTCTGTTGAGGGTCAAGGTCACAGTCTTTGGTTTATAGGATTGTAAACTTTTGTCAATATAATGGGATGAGAGTGCTTTTTAAATCAAAAAAATTGCTAACAAGGTAAGGCTAGCTAGGTAAATTAGGATCAGTTTTCATTTTCTCCAGCATTTTGTTAAAGGTTTAAACTTACATGATTTGAAGCTAGGAATGGCAGTGCACACCTGTAAACCCAGCTACTCAGGAGGCTGAGGTGGGAGGATCACAAGTTTGAGGCCAGCCTCAGCAACTTAGCAATTCTATCTCAAAGAAAGAAATAAAAATGGGATATAGCTCAGTGGTAGATTGCTTTTCTAGCATGCACAAGGCCCTTGGTTCAATCCCTAGAAACACACACACACACACACACACACACAAACACACAAAAAACTTACATAATTTTTTGGCGTCACTCAGAAGTGAAAAGATGAGCTATTGTGAGCAAACCTATGGAAGACAGCTCCCAGAACTCACTGAAGAGTTTAGGGGAATTTTTCCTTCACATCATAGGCCTATTGGAAATGATGGACAGGCAGTGCATTTTACTGGGTAACCCTGTCTGGCATGTTTAGGACAGGACCAGTGGTTCTCATGTCCCCAGAATTGTCCTGGAGCATCAGATCAGCCCCTGAGCGCCTAGCTGGGGGTCACTGGTGGCCACAGAGGATGCCTGCCTTACAAGATGCATGAGACCATGACTTAAGCTCACAGGAGGAGAGTCCTAAACTCAGGTCAGAGACCGATCACTAGGGATGTAAGACCAAAACTTGGGCTTCTCAGCCTCGAGCGCCACCCAGATCCATGCAGCCTGCTTTCTCTCGCCCTGTTTCTCAAGACCCCGTTTCAGTGTCAGTCACACCAAGCTGCCTCCTTCCTTTGTGTGTGCTTTAGGAGTTCGTGCTTCCGAAAGGCTGGCTGAAATAGACATGCCCTATCTCGTGAGATATCAACCCATGATGCGAACCGTTGGCCAGAGGTACTGTGTGGATCCTGCAGTGATCGCTGGTGTCTTGTCCAGGCAGTCCCAAGGGGGCAACTTTCTGGTCAACGTGGGCAACACAGGCAACGTGGGCAACATGGAAGATGGAGTCAGGGTGCTGCAGGTAACTCTCCATCAGTTAATGTCACCGGCGGCCATTCTGCTTAGAGGCACAATTCCAAGGGCACCTCTCTATAGAATCCAGAAAGAACGGTGCTGCCTGGAGTCTGTGAGGCACCCTATTCTGGATTTCTAATAAGGCACGAGTCCAGGAGAAAAATCACAGATGGCGTCTTTGCTACATTATTTTCTAGCTTTGTGAACTTGAATAAGCCTAAGCCTCAGTTTCCCCACCTATAAAATTCCATTTTGGGGGTGTTAGTTCTGGGGATCAAGCCCATGATGCTAAGCAAGCACTCTACCACAGACCTGGCCCTAAAATGCCATTCTTGTAGAATTATTATGAAGATTCAATGAAGTAATGTGTAAAAGTATCTGACATTGAGTAGATTCTTAACGAATATTAAATTCTTTTTCCCTGTCCTCTTTCTACATAATTCCTAGTTCTGAAGATGGAGTTTTATCTTTTCACTTATTCCGCCTGGATCAGTGTCAGACAGAGACTTCCAGGGAACATATCCTCCCCGCCCCCCTCCCCCCTTGGATTAACCATCTTAGGGAATCGGTGGAGGCCAGGATGAGAGTGAGGCCAGCTTTTTCTTGTTGCATCTCAGACCATCGTTATTTTGAGAAACCCAAGAGTTGATGCAGTCGTTTAAAAAAGATTTTAGGAAAACTTACTATTCAATGATGTTTAAATTGGTTTCCATGAGTCCTTGGAATGAAACTACAAACTTCATCTCAAGGTGAAGTATTTGGAAGTATTTTTGAAGAACTGAATGGGACCCATCCTGTAATCCTTAACACAGACCATATAGATGATCCTTGAGGACATTTTACTAAGTGAAATAAGCCAGTCACAGAAAGACAAATTCCACATAATTCCACTTCCATGAGAAGTGGTGCGTGCGATCCATCCTTAACAAGTGAGGAAATGGACGCTCTCCAGGGAGTTTGTGCTGCGAAATCACACTGGAAAACGCCCAGGTGGGACCAAGGATGTCTCAGGATGTTAGGGATGGCCTCGTTTCCACTGCTCTTCTTGACTCTTTTGTAAAATATGGTTCTTGGGAAAAGGGCAAATCTATATCCTTTGAAGAGAAAGTAAGAATCCCCCAAATTGGGACATTTCTCCTAAACATGGTGAATCCTATGTGGAGGAGAGAACCAAAGGTGTACAGGAAAGGTTAGAAGTACCTTTAGATGTTCTGGTCGTCTGCAAGGAGAGCTGCAGCACAGCAGAAAGCCCTTCCTGGCTTGTTTGGAGGTTTGCATGTCAACTGCGGGAGTATACCACACTACTTCTTCCATAACCAGCCATCTCTGGCTTCCCACTGGCCCTGTCACCATGACACTGAAGCAATGGTGAAGTGACTGCCTGCCCCTCCCTTAGTCCAAACCCTGCAGCTTGATTGATTGATTGATTGGTATGAATATTTATCATGAGATCTATCTTCTTAATAGCTCTTACTTAAAATACCCAACAATACAATTACAATATTGATGATTATATGCACAGTGCTATATGTCAGATTTCTAGAAAAAAAATAATGCACAAGTAAAATTTCATAGACATTAACTAGCAACTCAATTCCCCACCTCCCTTTGCCCTACCACCTGGTCACCACCGTTCTGTTCTTTGTGTCTGTGAATTTGACTACTTTAGATACTTCATGGAAGTGGAATTATGTGGAATTTGTCTTTCTGTGACTGGCTTATTTCACTTAGTATAACGTCCTCAAGGATCATCTATATAGTCTGTGTTAAGGATTGTTTTGCTTTTCAAGGTTGAACCATATTACATATAACACATATATAACATTTTCTCTGTCTATTCATCCGTCAAGGACATTTTGGTTGGTTCTACCTCTTGGCTATTGTGAGGAACTCTGCTATGAACATGGGAGTACTGCTATCTCTTTGAGATTCTGTTTTCAATTCTTTTTGAAAAATTACCCACAAGTGGAATTGCTAGATCATATTGCACTTCTAGTTTTATTTACTTATTTATTTGTTGAAGAATCTCCATACTGTTTTCCATGGTTGGTCGCACCATTTTGCATTCCCATCAACAGTGCACAAAGATTCCAGTTTCTTCACATCCTCAGCAACAGTTGTCTTTGAGTTTCTGACAGTAGCCATTCTAGTAAGTCTGAGTTGCTCTGCTATCTAATCCCGCAGGGAGCTGGAAGGTGGCTTTGGTTCCCTGCAGGTGTTTCAATTGGCTTTTGCATCGCTGTGACCAATATTACTGACAAGAACAACTGAGAGGAGGAAAAGGTTGTTTGGGTCATGGTTTGAGAGATGCAATCCATGGCCTGCCAATTCTGTAGCTTTGGGCCCAAGGTGAGGCAGAACATCATGGTGGAAGGGTGTGGCAGAGAAAGCAGCTCAGGACAAAACAGCCAGAAAGGAGAGAGAGAGAGAGAGAGAGAGAGAGAGAGAGAGAGAGAGAGAGAGAGAGAGAGAGAGAGAGAG